TGCATCCCCGCCACGCCTGCCTCCCTGCGCCCGCTCCAGCCTCTGAGGGCTCCGCAGACCCCGCGCCTTGCACTGCAGGGCGCCCCGGCTTCGTGCGCCTGTCACTCGCAGGTCTATAGGGATTTCTAAGGTGGCCTCGCGTGGGCGGATGTCGCTCTGGTGGACGCTTGTACTGGCCGTGCCTGCGGTTCAGTAGTTAGGTTATGAAGGGCGGCGGACGGGAGAGAGGGGCCGGACGATCGCAGTTGGCTTGTGCTGAGGGGCCGGGGGCCGGGGGGGCCGGTTAAATCATGGGCAGGGCAGGCGGCCGTTGCCTGGCTTTGCAGGAAAGCTCTTGGTGGTGAGTAAAACTCGATGCCGCGGGATAATGACTCGTTTGTTTCCTGTTTGACAGTACGGAGGCGCACCCGGAGGCCCGGCCTTTCCCGGACAGACACAGGATCCGCTGTACGGCTACTTTGCTGCAGTGGCTGGACAGGTTAGCTTTGCCTTTAACATTAAAAAAATGATCAGATTATGCGTTTGTGTTAGCTTTTGATTCTAGAGGTCCAAAAGAGCAAACTTTGCCCTGAAATGAGACCCCTTTTTTGTGCAAAAAAGAGAAGGAAAGTTCATTTCCTGTTTCAGTTATTGCATACATCAAAGTAGGACTAGGCATTACTACCTGTATTGGGGTGTGTTCAGTTCAACCGAACTTGTGATTAAACAAGATTGGAAAGGATGGAGGATTGTAAATATATTTTGAAGACCTGTGAGTAGAAAGATGTCTTAGAACTGAATTATTAGGGTCCGGGTGGTATCAAGAGAAGAAATTCAAGAGCTGGGAAACCTCTGTTGGTATAATTTAAAGATATGTATTAGTGTTCATGTAGCCAGGTTGGAAGGACATATTTTTCTGTTGAAACTGTTATTCATTGACTCCTTCAAGAAATAGATATGTATATAAACACTCATCAGCTTCTAAGAAAGCTCCTATTCTCAGTATCAGGAAGTCAGTATTTCGAAGCTTCCTTTCTCTGTGCACTGCTCCTAGGTTAGTACCTCCACGTCCTTAATAGGAGTTGTGACCTGATGACCCGGAGACCGAATGCAGGTCAGCTCCCAACACCGCTCCCTGCATTCCCGAGTTGTGGGACAACTGCTGAACTGCCTGGGGGAGGACCCTTGCCTGACTCACAAGGTCACTGCGTGCAGTAAATACCCTTCAGGCATGGTCCACACATGTCAGAAGGCCTGCGTAGCCTTAGCAGTTCAGCACAGCCTCATTTTGATTAAAAGCTAAAAACTGCAAAACCATAGTGCAAAAAAAGTACTGTAGAATATTACAGAATAAAAACCTAAGACCATCTTTCGAAGTAACACTCTTCAGAAACACAGCTTTGAGAATTTGAATGGAAAATTGAGTCTAAAACTGGAATACTTTCCTCTTGAGTATCTGCTGCATCTGTTACTGATCTGTGCCTTTGAAACCACGAGACAGGGCACACTCAAGACCAATGTCCTTAGGTGGCAAGAGCCACTGGTGGGTAAGTGACCCCACCTGCTTAGCTTTCAGCCACCTTGCCCTGTGTTCTCATGTTCGACCTCTTCGAAGTTATTGATCCTGCTCCTTATAGAGCTCACTGACTGCAGGATTTAGATATTTTATTTTAAAATCCCTAAAAGTGACAAGTATCTGTAAGTCTGACCTAGTGTGGCCAATTAGTCAGTACTGACTGAAGGCCTAATCTGTAACTTCCAGATACTGTGCTCTGGAAAAAATAAAAATCACCAAATGAAAAGGCGATCAAGGAGTCTTTCTGTTTGAACCAAATTATTTACTGCTGTTTGCCATGTATCTAGCTCAGTCTGCCTTCCTCAAAAAAATTCTTTTCAATCAACTTCATAATTCTTTTTCTCTTTTCATAAATAATTTTTGAAAAATGCTTAGTATTAGCAGCTTCCTAGTTCAGACTGAATGATGTTGCCAAAACAGACTCTGAGTCTATTCATTTAAATTAGCGTTGGTATTAGGATGAGGAAAGTAATGCCCACTTTTGGAAGAATTCCTTAAAGAAAAATCTAACACATGCTACCCTTTCTTCATTATTATACTGAAGGTGAACAAAGAACTTCGACATATAGTACAAAATCACTCATGATTCCTTTTCCTGTTTTTTTCAAAAGGATGGGCAAATAGATGCTGATGAATTACAGAGATGTCTGACACAATCGGGCATTGCTGGAGGATACAAACGTAAGTTTTGACGAGTCCCACATTTCTCCAAAAACAAAACCTTGATTGTTCGTATTTCAGTTGTGATGATAAAAAAAACTGAGCTTTTCTGATTCAATTTTAGAATTTAAAAAGCTAAATTAGGCTATTATTTCAAAATATTGATTTGAACCCCATTTTTTTGCATCATAAAACATTTTTATTTGTAAAATGAGAGGGATTATATGGTTTTAACACAAAGGAAACTGTAATGATGATTGTTCTTTAAATGAACCTTAGAAAGTAGGGGTTCCATCTGGTTTTTTCAGAAATCACATTATGGTTGCTATAATTAATACCTAAGAAAGAATCTGCTGGGGGAAATGACATTTGGGGAGGTAGTTAATAACCTTACAATGTGCAGTAGAAGCAGCCATGTGAAAAACTGCAATGTGCAAGAAAATAATCAGGACGAAAAAATAAACAACGGAAAAATAGAAAAAGGGATGTCTAAATTTTCTAAGTCCAATTTTAAAGTACCACGAAGAATATGATGAACATGAACCTCTAGGACATTTTTGTTTCAGCAAACTTTTGAACTCTTGATGTAATTTACTTGTTTAATCTTTAGTCGTACGCGTTTGCAGTACGTAATAAGTACATGCACTGTGCGGAACCGGCGCTTGTACATCACACTTCTCAACTCTTGTTTTGCCCCCATTCCCCTCCATCCTTTTTTTCTATCACGTTCACGTAGTTATCTTATAAGTCCTTATAAAGTTAACTATACATACAGATTAACAGGCAGATGAACAGGTTGAAAAAATAAAACACCTGACACAGTTATGCTAAATCAAGGTACACTTTTATATACACTGTCCAGAGCTGGAGATTTAACTCAGTGGCACCACACCTGCCTCGCAAGCGCAAGGTCCTAAGTTCAATCCCCGGTACCAAGAAAACCCACAAACAAACAAAAAAAAAAACTGCCCATGTTGGATTTTTCTCTCTCTCTTTTTCCCTATTGTCTGTCTTTGTTTTAGAGTTTCTTATATACAAGAAACCATGTGAGATTTAAGCTTGTGTGTCTGATTTACTTAACATTATAGTCTCAGTCTCAAGGTGCATCCGTTTACCTACAAATGACTACAGTTTATCCTTCTTTACAGCAGAGTAGCTCTCCACTGTGTATAAATAACATGTTTTCCTTATCCAGTCATCTGTTGATGGACATATAGGCTGCTTCCAGGATTTAGCTCTTGTTGAGTTGTACATATGCATGGATCACAGTACTATGTGTGATGACTTTTAACTCCTTGGGGAAGATACCTAGAAGGGCAACAACTGGATCTGATGGAATTTCTAGTATTAGTTTTTGAGGACTCTACACACTACTTTCCGCAGTGGGCATACCATTTACATACACACCCACCAACAAAGGAGAAGGCTCCTTTTGAGACCTGTTCTTACTAGATCATTCCAGTCTACCAGCTAGGTTAGTGCATTTTTTGGATTTGGGTCCAGGTATTGAACCATGCAGAGCAGTGCACTGGTTTGTGTGGCCTCCTTCACAGAGCACAAGTTCACAGGGAGACAGGAGGCCCATAGGTCAGGTATCATTAACAGTAAGGCTGACTTTTACTGATGGCTGTTTGCCAAGCGCGTCCTCTGCCCTCAGCCTGGTAGCACTTAGGCTTACATCATTCAGGACTGGCCAGTCCTGTGTTCTGGTCCCCAAGCGCCAAGTACGTCCCTGGCCGCATGAACGCATCCAATACCAGCCTGCCAGGTCTTCTCTTCTCCCACTGCTTCAGATGGTGTGTCCAGATGCATTCGAGATCGTGCTTTCTGAACTCCTCACACGGGTCCACAGTTCCTCACTGGCTGGGTCTTCTGCCCTGTAATTAGTGCTTACCCCCACTTGCCTTCCTTTGCAGCAAGTGACAGGAAAATATTGCAGAGATGCTGTAACCAGACCAGATGCTTCTAGAACATCAGCACCCACACATTGTGTACTTCGTTTCCCAGTCATCTTGACCATGCACATTTCTAGGGTAGATAACAGCGTCGGGCTCAAATGCTCAAATGTTATCTGCCACCTTTGCCAGTTGGTATTTGAGACAGGACATCAAGTTGAAGCCCCAGTTTTGGTGGCTGTGAATTAAAATGTTCAAATTTAGAATTCACAGCTGAGAGTATATAACAGCATTTTTGTTGGACATGGCTTACTTGAACTTTACATTTCCTTTGTTATTTTTCCTTGTCTTATATGGCTTGAGTATCCTATTACTCCTTCCTCATTGGGAGAATATAAGAGAAGAACCTTTAGAATTTCTGTCATTTCATTTCTGTCATTTCTAGATTAAGGGAAATGTGTTTAGGCAATTGCTAATTGTTAACCTCAAGCAGCTGACCTAGTGAACAAGGGAGGTCTGACAGCAAGATTTACAGAGAAACAAGGTGATGTCACATATAGACCATGGGAGGTGCAGCAGGTTTTAGAATCTACAACAGGCAGTAGTATAGTCTTGGTAGCCCTTTTAAGAATTTTATTTGGGAAACCCACATCTATGATAGCCTTAGATCACTTCTTGAAATGTAAGAACCTTGTGATTTCATTGATCTGCTTGGTCCTTCTGGTGGCTCTAACAAACCACCTTTCTTTTGAGATATCTTTCTTTTAAACCTAGCTTCGAAACCAAAAACAAGCTCAGACCCAAAGTGGGTGGGCCTGAGACCTTGCCCTGGAGGTGCAGCCCTCTTCTGAACCAATGTACAAAGAAGCAGTCCTCTATGAAGGCAGAGCTAATGGGCACAGTAGCTCCATTCTTTAAGGTGGTCCCCAGCTCCTGTCTCTTCTTAAGATGAAGCTGTGCCTCTCTGATGTGGCTGAGAGAAACCACTGGAAGGAGAGCTCCCTGCTATGCCCATACTCATTCTTTCTAGTAGAAGAAAACATGTTTGAGGAATTCTAGTAATAAGAACAGAAAAGAAAAGTAAAAATCATAATATATTTTTAAGTATTTCAAGAAGAATTAGCATTAATAAAAGTTATATCTGGGAAGAAGATACAATGAACAAAGTAACCCCAGAAAGGGTTATTTTTCTTAGCCAAATTTATTGAACATCAGTATTGTAGTTTATTCACTTTTACTATCTCTAGAATTCCTGTTATCCGTAGCCATACATATAGGAAGTGCTTAGGGGCTGGCTGTTGAGTTGGTGCATTTGGAAAATTTTAGCCTAAACCTTATCAGTACTTGAAGATTATACCTTTCTTTCAAATATCATAGAAAACATGAGACCCTATTTTTAAAACATACTTCTAACGCTGTCTGTGAGAGGTATGCATGTAAAATACAGGGCGTGTAGCTTCCTGCTTAGGGGTGAGAATCCAGTCTTCTCTATATATTCATTTATTCAACCTACATACACGTTTCCAGTGAACACCTGGTATGTGCTAGGTGTGCCACCACCCACAGCGCCTGGGGGACATTGGAATAAGTACGGTATAGAGGCTGTGGGGTCCCATCGGACCGGCAGGAAGGCGGGAGGCACGGAAGTTTTCCTTGCATAATTAATGTCTAAACTGATGAGAAGCGAAAGTCTAGCAGCAGCGAGGCCAGCCAGTGAGTGGGGTAGGGAAGTGGTGTTGGGCAGCACATACATACAACACATGGAAAGTTTCCTGTGAGGGCAGCAGCCGGGCTCAGGTTGCCATGCTGTCTGGGGTTAGTTCTTAATCTTAGCAGTGTTAGCATCCTCTGGAAAGACTGCAAAACCAAATTGTTGGGCCCAGCCCCAGAGTTTCTCATTTGGAAGGACTGGGATGAGACCTGAGAATCTTTACCTCCAACGAGTTTCCATGTGATGCTGGCGAGGTTGAACCAGTTGCGTTAGTGGTAACATGCGTCTCACCTGAGGATCTTCTGAAAAATTCAGTCTGATTTTATTACGGGGGTTCAGGGCCAAGATCCTGCACTTCCCACACATTCCCAGAGCAGAGCGACAGCGTTTGTCCAGTTACTCCACACTTGGCCGCTCTCGAGTCATCTGAGAACCTTGAAGCAACATGGAGATCCTGATCAGCCGTCCTGGGGTACAGCCCAGGTGTCAGGAGCCCTTCAGGTTTCCAGGGGATTTCTGATGAGAATACACTGATCTAGAGTGTGCAGACTTCACATCTCCATACAATTTAAAGTCAGAGTGGAGAACTGACCATCACTTTCCCAGACGTGTAGAGGAGCGTGGCGGCCTTCTCGTACCTCAGAGGACTGTTTGTTTGGATCACTGGAAGCTTGAAGGGCCAAGGCAGAAACTGCTGGCAGTCTTTTTGTTTCAGGAAAAGGATATGCCTAGTAATCATTAAATGTGCAAAACCTATACTTTGTACTGTTTGGAGACAGTATAATAACAATAATTCAGTTGTGGTCCGATTTCAGGTTGGTTAGACCAAAAAAAAATCTATAAATAGCTGCAAAACACATTATTCCTGAGTGCATCTTAAACTTGTAGTATTTGTACTAGCTTTCCACACTTGACACTTTCTATTTCTGCCTTCTAGACGGACAGGGTCTTTGTACCTTTGAGTTCCAGTAGTGTAATGTGAGAACAAGGAGCTGTCTGTCTTTAGTTTCCTAATACTCAGATGGATTTCAGCAGGCCACACCCACTGGCAGTGTGAGGAACGAAAGTGTCCTCAGAATGCCCCCAACTGTAGGGAAACTAAACAGGCTTCGGAACTGTGGCCATCACCATGCTGGTCACCAGGTCTTCTTCAGTGCATATAAAATGAGGCCACAGATCACTTGTGATAGGATGTTACTGCTCAGTGGCTACATTTAAGGGAAGAGACAGAAACAAAAGATTAGACAAAACCTAGCAAAAGCAGCTATTTATAGTTACTTGGGAGCAGGAACAAAGCGACCCAGCTTCCAACAGACTGGTGGATGTCACGCATTATGGTTCTCCATGGCGAAGTGAACTTACTATATTATAGGTACATTATCATTTTCAAAGCAAGGAAGTATTAACAAGACTGTGCAGTACTTCTCTTTTTCCTTTGGTATGGGGGATCAAACTCAGGACCTTGCGCTTGCTATGCAGGAAGCAGAACCACAAAGCTAAATCCCCGGCCCTGTGTGACACTTTTAATAATATTCCCTTTAAAGTCAAATACGAGTTCTGGAAAAAATCCTTTTACCTGAAAAAAAAAACTCCTTCACAGCTTCAATATAATTTAGACTCACAGAAACTGAGTAGCATATAAAAAAGTACATAATCACATTCTTAATTAACCAGAATGTAATCAATGTAACGTGAATTTTTCAAATTGTATTTACATGTATGGACTTTTTTTTTTTAACAGCTTTTAACCTGGAGACTTGTCGGCTGATGGTTTCAATGCTGGATGTATCCTTTATCTTGGTAGTGTCTAAAGTACTTTTTCTTGCCAGTAAATTTCCTTCCTAAAGGAATTCATCTCAGAATTCTTATCCGGTAAAAGCAAAGTGATAGCTACTAAAAGGCTTTATGAAATGATTAGGTTTTGGGATGTAATTGAGTATGAAATAGGAAAGAAGGGTAGTAAATAGAAGGTTAATTGTTCAAGAATGAAGGAAGCAACCAAGCACCGCGGCTCACGCTTGTAATCCTAGCACTCTGGGAGACTGAGGCAGGAAGATCACAAGTTCCAGCCCAGCCTGAGCAACTTAGCAACTTAGTGAGACCCTGTCTCAAATAAAAAAATAAGGCAGGGCGGGGGATGCAGCTCAGTGCGAAAGTGCAAAGGCCTCAGGTTCAATCCCAAGTGTTGAACAATAAGAATAGAGAAGGCAAAGAAGCATCAGAGTAGCACAAATGTAGAGAAAAGAGCACCAGGGCAGCTTTTCCCTTGCACGCAGTTGCTCTGTGTGACTCACACTCGACTCTCAGTGGAGTTCACGCCCCAGGTGGACTCCATGTCCTGGGGCCGACTCGCAGCGCCTCCCATCCTGACCTAATTCCAGAAGTCTGGAAGAGCTTCCCTGGGATCCATGAGCCACAGGTGACCCCAGACGGAAGGGGAAAACCGTGGCGCCGGGGTACCAAGAGGTGCAACCTTGTCCCAGAAACAACGGCTTTTTACCGTCTTTTTTTGGTAGTTGATGATTTTCAGTATCATTTCCTTATAATCAGACCACTTAGGCTCTTTTTCCCACAGCACAAATAGGTAGTCGTTGCTCTTTTCTCCACAGTTTCTTTCTGTTGTATTTTTTTAATCATTAACCATTTTATCCTATCGAGAAGGTACAGTATCTCTTTTAACCACTTAGCAGAAAGAACACAGAAGTCCAGGGGCCAGGGATTTAGCTCAGTGGTGCTGCGTCCTCTTATCCCATTCTGAAATTCAGACATGAGGAAATGTTGCTGAGTGCACAGCTGTGACCCTTGACCCCCGCCCAGAGGGACCTGTCGGGCACCATGGGCTTCACAGAGTTTAAGGAGCTCTGGGCGGTGCTGAACGGCTGGAGACAGCACTTCATCAGCTTCGACAGCGACCGCAGTGGGACTGTGGACCGCCAGGAGCTGCAGAAGGCCCTCACCACAATGGGTGTGTGTGCACATTTCCCCGGGCAGTGCTGCGTGAAGACGGTTTCTGTTTTCTTTGAAATTGTATCTGTTCTTAATTAAGACGAGTTGACAGTCAAAAAATTGTACTTACTTCTTTTTAAGCCTTTAACCGTTTTTTTTTTTTTTTTTT